TATGTTAATATTTCATTTTGGATGTATCGTCATCTCTTCTACCCTATGCTTGATCGTGGGGAGGGTCTTGCATTTACTCTCTTTTCCTTGCCACAGGTTCATCAAGCTTTGATAATGCTGGGAGTTCTGTTGTGAAAATTGCTTATTTTACAGTATCCTTAAGTGTTTACATTAACGGATCTGGGGGAGTTTTCTCTACTACATTTAGGTAACATCAGTGCTAATAATGTTAACGCACATTGTATTAGATTCCTGCAAGGAAAAAAAAGAAGGACCGAGATAAAATCTCCACAGGAATGTGGTATATGTTTCAGGAATGCTTTTCTCTAGTCTCAGTGCTTCAGACTTAATTTTGTTTTGATCCTCAAAATAAATATCCCTCTCCTCAACACACCCCCACCCCAACCTTCCCATTCACTGATACTAAATCTTTTTTTCCAAGGTGCCTGTTCTTATTTTCATAGTCATTATGCCTTGTGCCTGGAGAACTCTTTTGATCCTACCATCAAAACAGCTTTTCTGAGGCTAACCAAACCCTTCTCTCTTTTCATCTGTTTAATAACAGAAGTAAATGAACCAAGATAATCAGATTTTAAATAAAAATTGTCATTTACAATTATTCAGTTTGATTTTTGTTTTTTTCTTCTTCTTCTTTTTCCTTTTCCTTTTCCTTTTCGTACTTTTGGTGACATGAAGGAAAAAGGAAAATGTTGATATAAAAGAAAAAACAAACAAAAACCCCAAACAAAACCCCCTCAAACATTAAAAAAAACAAGTAATGAAACTATTTCTGTTTTGAAGAACTTAAAACTGAAATTAAAATCGGGCCATTTTATATTACTGAAGCAGTTACCTTATTCAATCAGTAAAGCATTAGTTAATGAACATCATCTTGTTTCTGGTTCTATATATACTGAAGTTTCCTTTGCTCAGTTGTTGAAATTTCTAGGGTTATTGTTGTTATTACTTTTTTTTTATTTTTTTAACCTGAAGAACTGGAGACAATTCCTTTTACCAGTCAGGTTTATTCTGCATGTTCAAAATTTCAGTACAGCTGACTTCTTACTTGGATTCTTGGTTCCTTCCAGGCCATCCCACCACCCTTGCAGGCTGCGCTCAAGTGAAGTCTCTTGCGTGACTGTTTGAGTCTCCTTTTTTTCTTTCTGAGCCCTCTTGTTAGGGGACATTGTACTCTCTTACAGGACTCTTCTTCCTTGTTAAAAGGACATGTTCTTCTTGACCCAATTTGAGTGCTCTTATGGTATAACATCCCAAGAGATGTGTTTTCTTAGAGCCTTTGCTGATAAGGTGTGAGGGGCAGATGCTGAATGCCAACTTCTTGGTGCCTCAAGTACTGACCTCCCTTTAATCTTGAAACTTCTGGATGCCACCATGTTATTTGATGTTTCAATGGTATTGCTGCAAGCTGTGTAAAGAGAGAAGGCATCATATAAAGTTGTCTTCTCTCTGGGACGGTCTCCCTGCAGTAACTCCTGCTGTATCTGTTTTCCTTGGGCAAGTTATGGTTTTAGAGGGAGCAGCTCAGAAGCAACATTGACCCTTACTGATCAGCAGTCTGAACTGTTAAATTTTGTAGAAACTACTTTGAGAAGGACCATGGCCACTATCAATAGGCTTAATCACAATCTGGCCTGCTAAACTTCTTCAAACCTAATGCTCACTGCCGAGGCTAAGATACGCCCTGCGGGTGGAGAGCTGCCTGTGATAGAGCACAGAGCTGGACTACAGCTTCTTTTCCATCTATCCCTCTGATTCAAAAGGCACTTCAGAAAAATCTAGTACTATAAAGCTCATTTGCTCTCTTAGTGAGAACTGGATCACGTATTCCAAATTTCCAGATGTTGTCGTATTGGCAGTGTGACAGCCATGCTTGGCTACCAGAATTCCTTGGGTTTCTTCCTGAAAGACTTCTGTCTCCAGAACAATGTTTTCCATGCTAATAGTCTGGACAATGGTCAAAGGTTTTCCTACCAGAGCTGGCTGAAAAGAATGCAGACTATTTAAAAGTCCATCTGAGACCTGAGACCATTTCCTACATTGACGTTCTCCTATGCATGGATTACTTTTTAACCAAACGGGAAGTCAATTTATAAAATTTTGGAGCATGGGGTTTTGTTTGCTTATACTGTGACTGAGTATGTGAAGCTTTGATTGCTCTGAATGGGAAGGAGTCTTTTCTGCAGAAGGGAACATTGGCTCCCGTCGGTCTTTTAGACACCTTTTTCAGCCCTTCTTCGGGAAGATTGTCCTATCTTAAGTTATTTAATCTGGTGATTAATATTTTTTTGTTGTTTGTTTTTTGTGGTGGGGTTTGGGGTTTTTTTAGGGTATTTTGGGGATTTTGGGGGTTTATTTTAAAGAGTTGACCAGGAAGAAAAATAGAGGGGAAAAGTACAAATTATTAATCTAATCACTTAATATTCTCCTACAACTCAAATCACCAATGATAACGAATGTGAGGCAAAGAATAGAGAAGATGCAGACAAGTCCGAAAAAAGTTTGTTGTGAAGGCAATAAAACCAAGAGTGGTAATTTCAGCTCATGAGACTTGGAAAACCAAGGTCTGCAACTGTATTTCCATCATGTGTGCCATTTTCTCTGTGAAAGACACCTGAATTTTCAGGAAGTTTGATCTACCCATTTCTGCAGAGGTTATCTAGATGTTGCCTATAGGCTGGCTAAAGTGAAACCTAGTATTTTTATCTTGATACCACTTTCAGATTGTGTCTGTACTTTTTTTTGTTACATATATTTTAAGAGGTTTTTTTCTTTCTTCAGTAATATGTAGGCACTTATTTTTGTGTTTCATTCTTTGCACAAGGGAAAAACATCTTTCTAAGCAATGTCTGCTAGATGGGTTAAGGTACAAATTCCTTGAACCTGCCAGTGCTAATTGTTGGTTTTTTGCTGATTGCTGGAGGCTGTTTCTTTTTTTTTTTTTTTTTTTTTTTTCCCCTTCCCCTCCCAAGTATCTTCCTTTTATTGGGGCAGCAAAAGATGAGATGGTAGTACAGAATTCTGCAAGACTGCGTACAGAGTCGTCTTAAAGGGAAACGGTTGTCACAAATCCTACGGGTTTTTTGATCCTATGTAGTAGAAGTTATAATGCTTTTTATCCCTTCTACATCTCTTAAGATGAAGGACACAAATAAAATAATTAGATTCCCCCATATTTTTTATTTGTATTTACAAATATGTTGAGAAGAAAATGTCAAAATGATAAATAGAACTTTGGTTCCTGTACTCTTACTTTTTTGTTGGTTTAGTTAATTATTTACTGTTGTGGTAAGAATATTATTATCAAAAAAAATCATTGAAATGCCTGTTTTAAAGCTGTCACTCTAGTGTAGTAAATATGTGCACAAAGAGTTAAATTGCTTCACTTTATCTTGACATATTTAATGTTATTTGTGAAATGTGATCTAACTAATACTGTTTTTTCAAGGACTCATTTGCCCTTTGTAGTAAAATGCTGCTATAATGCAATATTTTAAGAATCGGGTAGTGCAATAAAGATTCTGTGAGATTACTTGAATTTACTTGGTTTTCTTCTTGCAAATTTCCTTTTGAGTAATACTTTACAGCAGAGAATATACCAACGTTATCTACCACTAATGAGGTTAAAGGGAGAGATATTAAACCCCTGCCTGTTCAGAGGTGGCTTTTCCTCATTCATTGAACCCTGTCTGAGATAAACAGCTGTGGGGCAATTAAGGAGACGTGCATGGCAGAGGAGAACCAAACTTGCTTTCTAAGCATAAAGAATAAGCAAACACATTAAGTGCTGATGATGCTTCTTACTAATGGGTGGTTTAATGGGGGTGGTGGTCCTGGAATACTTAAAATATTTGAAATCGTTATTATTAAGTAGAGTTCTTATTTTCATTTCTTTAACTTATAATTACAGGATCTTCTGCTGGGTTCTTTTTTTCCTTTTGAAATTCAAGTGTATTTGTAGTATGCTAAATTAATCTACAAGGTTTTTTTTACCAAAAACCCTGTGATTTGCAATTAAAAAATTTAAGTGCTGTTCCATGAAGTTTCTCAGCTATGCTATGTACATATTTCTTTTTGTTCATTTTATCTTGCATTTTATTGAATCATTATCCCTATAATTACCCTTTGTTCAGGACAAGAATTCTGTTAATGTAAACTTATCAAGTCTTAAGCGTTTGACTTTTAAACCATTATGTTAATCATAAAGCAAAGAATCTTGGAAACAAACATGACTACTGTTTATCTGCATTTTATGTCTTCCAGTTCTTTAGGCTCTTTTCTTAAATAAACAAATACGCTACTTAAATGGAGAAGATATTCTCTTTAGAATGATCCAATCTCTAAAACTAACCACAATATTTAATATACCTACCCTCCCACATGATTTGGCATCTCATGTAGTTGGTTGCCCCTCCACAAACTGAGGGCAGCACCATCAAAACCCGAAAGAGAACCTGCAATTATTTTCATTTGCCTTAGATCTAATGATTCTGCATGGTCCTCCTTTCTCTTTAATTATTCCCTGTATAAAACTGGGTATAATAGGGTTTTATAATGAGAGAACACTCTCCTGATGAATGGGTGCAGTTACAGCTGTTGGTGTTTCACCAATTTTGATTTTTCAGAGAGAATTGGAGGAGAAGCCCAATTTTGCAAGTTTGGAGAATACAATTATTTTCCAACAATCTGGAGCTACAGTTTTCGACATTTTTGCATACAGCACTAGAGCAGTGTTGGTGTTGCACAGTACCACCTTCTTCTTTGCTTGACCAGCAAACGGAGTTTGGGTGGTTAAAAAAACCAAAAACCTTCAGGTTGATAAGCTGTCTTGGTTGTTGGGTTAATAAAAGATGATTCTGAGATATGAATATGCTAATACTGGAACTTGTGCTCTACCTTTCCGTTTTCCTCTTGCTTATTCTTTCCCTTCATACATGGCTTCATTTATTTATGGGGTTTTCCTTACTGTTCTTTGGTTTCAGATGCGAGTGTCTCTCTGGTTTATGTGGTTTCCCCATGTGCGAGGCAGGCTCCATTCCCCAGATAGTCTCACGTGGAGATGGAACACCTGGCAAGTGCTGTGATGTCTTTGAATGTGTCAATGGTACGTGATGCTTTCTCTTGCACCCGGAGAGGAGGATTTTATCTGTCTGTGGGAGACGCTGGGCATTTGGTTATTTTTACCATGTTGTCAAGATCTAAGAGAAATTATTTTCTTGAGGGTCATTCAGTAAGAGGGAACTGAAAGTTCTACTGAAAATACTGAAGTGGGAAACTGTGTCACAGAATCACAGAATGGCAGGGGTTGGAAGGGACCTCCGGAGATCATCTACTCCAACCCCCCTGCTCAAGCAGGCTCACCCAGAGCAGGTTGCACAGGACATGGTCCAGGCAGGGGTTGAATATCTCCAGAGAAGGAGACTCCACAGCCCCCCTGGGCAGCCTGTGCCAGGGCTCTGTCAGCCTCAAAGTGAAGAAGTTTTTCCTCATATTCAACTGGAACCTCTTATGTTTCAGTTTGTGCCCATTGCCCCTTGTCCTGTCGCTGGGCACCACTGAGAGAGGTGTCATTTGTAAGTCATCGTGTTGCTTTAATTTCTAAAGCATTTTTACCTGCGACCCAGGGAATTATAGTTTTAGCAAGACTCCCTCACTGCCTATTTTTCAGGTGCTCCTTACCAGTAATAAACACTAGAGTCCTTTCAGAATTGAAATTTTTGCTAATCACTGCAACTGGTGGTTGAAGTACCCTAAACAAAAGCATGCTGTTTAGACTGGGGGGGTTTGCTTTAAGAAACATTTGCAAAGTACTTTTTAACACCAACCCATTCTTTGGAAATTGTAAGTCAGTGTAAGAATAGACTGATTCGCATTCTTTGCTTCCCTATATGAATGTTTAGAAAATGTTTAAAAACCTGGAATTCGTTATGCAAGTGACTATATCTCAAGGCTGCTCTGTGCTGTATATGTAGACCTGCATATATGATGTATATGGTGAGTTGGGAAGAGACTTGGATATTTGACTATTGGTAGATAGACGGGGAAAAATACTCTTGAAGGGTTGCATGCTCAGATATTTCATAGAATCACAGAATGTTTTGGGTTGGAAGGGACCCCTAGAGGTCATCTAGTCCAACCCCCCTGCAGGACCAGGGACACCGCTAACCACATCAGGTTGCTCACAGCCCCGTCCAACCTGGTCTTGAATGTTTCCAGGGATGGGGCCTCCACCACGTCTCTGGGCAACCCATTCCAGTGTTTCACCACCCTCATTGTAAAGAATTTCTTCCTTATATCTAGTCTAAACCTACCCTGGTTTAGTTTAAAAACATCCCCCCTTGTCCTGTCACAGCTGGCCCTACTATTTCTGAGCATAAAAAGTTACGTGTTGGTGTAATATTTACTGGTTAATATTTATTCAGCACTATTTTATCTTGGTTAGCGGTACATGTGTCATGTTTGAAGCAGCTTTTATTTTACCTTCTTCATTGCATGTGCACATAAACATACATGGAGAGACAGACGTTTCCCCAGGAGGACATTTGTGATTTTTGCATGTAGTAATATTTTAAATACTCAAATGCTGATTCAAAAATAATGCTTAGTACATATAACGGTACTTTATATATAAAAATTAAGTTCTTTCATATGAATAGAAGAATTTGCCTCAGGAAGAATCACGGATTCTTTAGCTTTCAGATTAATTCTTTCACTATTTGGGCTAAGATTGTAGATACTATAGAATTAAATACCACTTACCAAATTTTTGTTGATATACTAAAGGAATATTCATCTTCCTTTGTTTCATATTCATGTCATTCTGTCAAAGTAACATTTCTAGCACACCTCACTGCAGTGTTTGATTCTGAGTTTGCTTTTTGAGCAAGAAATGTAAAGCCAATTTCTGATACGATGCCTTTGCTGGTGTGAAACAGCCTCAAAGGTACAAACCGCTTGCCCGTTTCTCTTCGGTCCGCAAGTTATTTGTGGGTACCGCTAGCAAAATCGTTGCAGTAGATGCCATATCAAGTGTTAGATGGAGCTGTTTAAATTGCCCGCTTATTTTGTCCATAGTCATTTTCATCTTAATTTGTCCGTAGTCATTTTCATATCCTATTTCCAAGGAGTTATAATCATTTTTCATGGTTAACAGTGAATTTGGACTGTCTTAGCACTGTTGCCCCATGCGTTGTTGCCTTATTGCTCACTGTAACTCGTTCCAGAGGTTCAATCTGCTTTGGGATCAGGATTTCTTTTTGCCTCTCGGGTTTTCCCGTTCCTAATCTTCACCTTAGTAGCCTATGAAGACAGAGTGAATTGGAAGAAAGAATAGGATTTTTTGGAGGGAAGTTGATGCACAGAGGGAAGCAGAAAGGCCAGATGGGAGGAAAACAAAGGTTTGTAGGAAGAGAGAATCTTTTGCCTTGTTTATCTCCTTAAAACATCAGTATTACAATATTACAAACCAGTATGAAAATTACTTTGTTAGTAAGTTCCTCTTTAAAAAAAAAATTCTGAGAAACCTGAGAAAAATGAAATACTTGGGGTGGGGGAGTTGGGCGGTGTTTGGGGTTTTTTTGGGGGGAGGGATGTTTTGGGGTTTTTTTGTTTTTTTTAAAAAGGTCATTTGTCTTTATGCTACTTAATGTTACAATCTGATTTTTAAAAATACTGCTGTATGACATGACCTGAAAGTGGTTTAAGTACATTTAGAAGTGAGAAACTTCCAGGTGAATTACTAATGAAGCATCATTTTGGAAAGAGGAAATAGTTATAAGCCTGAAGATGATAAATATGATAAAGATGATGACAGGCCAAGGGGTAATGGTCTTAAACTAAACCAGGGTAGGTTTAGACTGGATGTAAGGAAGAAATTCTTACAATGAGGGTGGTGAAACACTGGAATGGGTTGCCTAGAGAGGTGGTGGAGGCCCCATCCCTGGGATCATTCCAGGCCAGGTTGGACGGGGCTGTGAGCAACCTGATGTGGTTAGCGGTGTCCCTGCCTGCAGGGGGGTTGGACTGGATGGGCTCTAGGGGTCCCTTCCAACCCAAAACATTCTGTGATTCTATGGAATACTTTCCTCAACAAGCTGGGAGCAGTTGTGGAACTGCGCCTGGGGAGTTCTGTATGTGACATTTGGATTGTGTGGCAGATCATTTGTAAAGAGGACAGAATAATCATAGAACTTGATCTGCATTGCTTTATAGTTCAGGTTTTTTCGAGTGCATTTTAGGATGGTTAGGTGGTTCTTGTATTAGGGACAAATATTGCAAGCCACACCTCTAAAATCGCTAATTTCCTAGAAGACTAATTCTGGCAAGAACTTACTAGATAAATGTCTAGTGCAATAACAAACTGGTAAAAAAGTGCGTATATATAATCCCTACTATTACTTCTGTCAGTTTAAAAGGAAGAGGGGGGGAATGTTGTTCATGAGACTGGTAGTTGAATATAATATCCAGTTCTGGTTTTTGGAAGGGTCTTGAAATACTAACAAGTGCAGAAGTGATATAGTAGCTATCAGTGACAGATGGAGGAAATATCTTACAGTGATAGGCTTAGATCAGTTTCTTCACTTCATTAAAAAAAAAAAATTGCCATTGAAGTAACAAGAGCCAAATCTGTAAGATCTAGGACATGCTGTTCTCCGCAGTGAGGGCGGTTAGCTGTTGGCACAAACTGCCGGGGAGATGCTGAATTCCTTATCTTCATCCTTTCCAATTAGGATTAGAGGGTGTTTTAATCAAATGCACGTTAATGGGTTTATAGATGGTAAGTGGGGAAGTTGTGTAATCAGTGTTACCAACGAGGTCCATTAGTTAGTTCTGTCTTTGAAAACCTGTGAAAACAGGCAAGAGGACAGAATAAACCGGACATGTGCACAGTCACATTAGTGTAGTTTCCCTGCTGTTATAACATCTATTTAATATTAGAATTAAGTAATTCTATTGGGGGAGGAGGGCAGAGAAAAAAGCTGTCACGAGTAATACTGATCATCTGAGTTACCTTAAAATAAAGGCCTCCCTTATGAATAGGTGTATGTAGACTACAAAAAATACAGTTTCTGTGTTGTGAGGTGACTAAATGGTGCATTTAGGTAACCCTAATGATGTGCTGAGTGCTAGGGGTTGGCCTCTTCTCCCTGGTAATGGACAATAGGACAAGGGGGAATGGTTTGAAGTTGCACCAGGGCAGGTTTAGGCTGGACATTAGGAAAAACTTCTTCACCAAAAGGGTTGTCAGGCTCTGGAAGGGGCTGCCCAGGGAGGTGGTCGAGTCCCCATCCCTGGAGGGATTTAAAAGAAGGATAGATGAGGTGCTTAGGGCCATCGTTTAGTGGTGGGATGGCAGGGTTAGGTTAAAGGTTGGACTCGATGATCTTAAAGGTCTTTTCCAACCAAAGTGATTCTATGACTCTATTCTATAAAGCAGGCCAGCCCTCTGTAATAGTTATTGCAAGTATGTGCTGATGGGATAGATGCAGAGCTGCGTGTTCAGAGGGAGTATGAGAGGCTGCCTTTGCCGGGTGGGAAAGAGGTCCGCTCTTGTTGGGAGCAGCGTTGGCCGATGATGAGGGGGTAGTTAATGGACGAGGGCAGCAAAATGCGTGTTGCATAGGGGCTCTGCAGTATGTTCTCCTCGTTGTTGGACAGATCAGTCGTTCTTTCACAAATGTTTTTCCTGGCTTTAAAGTAAAACTGACTTAGAAGCTCTCCGATCTATCTGTATCTTCATGGGGTTATCTCCGTTACCAGTGCGCACTGTCTCAAACCGGCTTTTGGTTAATCTGTCTTAGAAAAGCCTATAAATCTGTGGTGAGAGAAACTTCTACAGCAGTTGCTCTGTGCAGATCGTGGAGTAGTTGTCGTTCCTGTTTGATTATAAATACGGCAGTAAGTCAATATGCTAATCATTATTTTCATGCTTCAGATTTATATTGGGTGTGTCCTTAAGCTTCCCATCATGTGTAATCTGCTGTTCCTTATAGTTTGCTATATAATTATGTAAACCAAAATAACGCTTACTCCTGCTTGGATCTGGCCCTGATATTTCCATTTAATTGGAGCTTGTTGTTAAGTACTTAACCGTCTGTGGCTGTT